TATTTTGACTTAAAATGTTGTATGGGGCTGGCAAGAGAATACAGGGGTTACGGTGCATACCCTACACGCAGCTTTATCAGAATCCCCTAACATTAATGCGTTGGTCCTGAAGACCCCTGAGCATCAGTTGGGTGACTGGAAAAGCGCCTTAGTGGCAGCATGCCGTTGGGTCCTCACATTGAACCCGCAGCCCACAGCCTGGCCTCAAAGCTCCTTGGAGCCCTGGTATTCCTGAGCACTGCTGGGAAGGGCAGAACTTAGAAGGGCTAAGATAGAAACATTATTTACTAGATTGCTTTTTCTATTTGGCGTTTAAAAATGTAGGAAAAAAATCATAAAACAGTGAAATAAAATCAAGGCTTATCACTTTGGGGAAGGAGAAATAGTAGGTTAGTTCACAACCTCAGTAGTAACAAGCAGCCGATCTGTTTTATTTATCAGAATTGTCAACTTTTTGTTTACTCCTAGCTAAATGAATTTTATTAGAAACAATTGAAACTTATTTAGGTTTCTTTTTTCTTTTTCTTTTCTTTTCCTTTCTTGCTTTTGGCTTTTTTTGGGTCACACCCAGAGATGCTCAGGGGTTACTCCTGGCTCTGCACTGAGGAATTTCCCCCGGTGGTGCTTGGGGGACCGTCTAAGATGCCTGGAATTCAGCCGGGTGCAAGGCAAACCCCCTCCCAGCTGCACAATCGCTCCGGCACTGCCTTCGGTTTTTCTATCTGTTCCATGGCTCTGTTACATATAAAGGTGGCACTGCTTTGGATGTTCAACAGGACTAATAGCCTCATTTTTATAGTCAGAATTTTCATTTCTGACAATGAACATTGTATGAACTAAGGATTCTTTTCTCTTTGTTTGGGAGCCACACCTGACAGTGCTCAGGGGTTTACTCCTGAGTCAGCACTCAGATATTATTCCTGGCAGTGCTTGGGGGACCTGGGATCGAACCCAGGTCAGCCATGTGCAAGGCAAGTGCCCTACCTGTTGTACTATCCAGCTCCCAAGGATTCTTTTTGACATTAGTCTTTACCTTAGCAGTTAGAAAATTAAGAGCTTGGGGGAGGGTTAGATTTTTGATGTACCAGAATAACATCTTTAAAAAAGCCATTTATATAAGGAAACAAACAACAGCAATTTCCTTATGGGTACATCTTTATATATTTTAATAGTAAGATGGACAAGTTAGGCCCTCCACTTCGAACTGGAAGACATATGCAAAGGTTCTATGACAGTGATACAAAATCAGACAGTGCCATCAAAAGACATGAGTTATTACCCATTTACAAGTAAGTAACTAACTGAGTTTGGTTAATCTTTTTCAGGTATTTTCTTGAAGTCTTTAATGTAAAACTATAACTTGTATAATTTAATATTTAAAAAGTCTTATTTTAATCCTTTTTGAAGTCAAGAAATGGAACATGGTCTTTTGGAACTTAAAAATACTTTGGTTTTTGTAGAACAATCTGTCATCCTAAATAATGCATAATTGGATCAGACTTTTTTTTTCTATTAATTTTTAGAGGGTTAGAATGCCAGTCACCTTCAATGATTGCTACTTTTACTAAGTTTTAGGAGTACTAATAAAGAATATGGGGGATATTATGCCATATATATGAAATACGATTGCTAGGTTATCTTTTATTAGACAGGTGAAAAATTTATTACAAATCAGGAAAAAAATCTTAGAAAACATTTATTTTAGAGATTTTTGCTTCTTTTATAGCTGTAAAATTTTCATACCACAAGGAAATGATATGATCCTGCTAAGTTCTGTTCCATTTTTGTACTGCGCAGCAAACTAATGAGAGAGACCAGTATGGCGATGGAAAATTTGGAAAGCTTCATTTTGGAAAGCTTCCTCATAAATACTTAAGATTCACAGTTTGGAGTCCTAATACCTGATTTAAAGATGATGAAATTAATAAATTACTTATTAGAATCAAAATATATTATTTAGCAGAAGTAATATAGCCAAGGCCTGCTATCATATTCTACTGGGTATGAGAAGTACCTTCTTTCTGTAGCCTTTGCGTTAGCAGTAAGATAGATTTGAGTCCAGGTCCAAAATGAGACCTTTTACTATTGTTGGACCTGTCACAGTTTATAACTATAAAATAAGGTTAGCACTTTTCAGACTTATGAAAGAAATGTTTCCCACGTGAGAGTGGTATGAGACATTTTAAGCATTAAAATGTTTCTTATTGGGCTGGAGTGATAGCACTGTGGCTAGGGTGTTTGCCTTGCATGTGGTCAATCTGGGTTCAATTCCACCGCACCTCTCGAAGAGCTTGGCAAGCTACCAGTAGTATCCCGCCCGAAGGGTCGAGCCTGGCAAGCTCTCCGTGGGGTATTTCATATGCCAAAAACAGTAACAACAAGTCTCACAATGGAGACGTTACTGCTGCCCGCTCGAGCAAATAGATGAACAATGGGAGGACAGTGCTACAGTGCTACAGTCTTAAGAATAACTAAACCTGCGTGCCTGAGAGATCGATAGGACAGCAGGTGTGGTACTTGCCTTGCACACAGCAGACTTTTGTTAGGTCTCCGGCAACTCATATGGTTCCCAGAGTACCACCAGGGGTGATCACTGTGTGCAGAACCAGGAGTAAGCCCTGAGCACCACTGGATGTGCGCCCTCATTCCCCCATGTGCCCCTCCCCCCACCAAAAAATGAATGACTAAAACTGGTTTTTGTTAGTAAGATTCACCTCAGAGAAAAGGTAAAAATACATTATAATCTTTTACTATTGGTAGCCACTGTTGATACCTTACATTTTTTTTCTGAATTTTAAGGCATTTTTAAAAATTATCTGAAGGGTTTTATATTATGTTGACAAGGTATGTATGCATGAATATGCTTATTTATATATCATGTATTTAATTATATGGATGATTTAAGGTTTCCAGTAAGACTTTGATCTAGAGCCATAAGTGACCTTTTCGATTCTTAGGACACTCACTGTGGGAATTCCAGTTTTGCAATGTTTTAGGCTTAAAAAGTACCTCTAAAAGGTGCTTCCATTGTTCTAAAACATCCATAGAGGATGTGTACGAATGTGAGTAGAATAAATTTCTTCAGATTTACAGGCCTAGCAGTGTCTGTTTAGTAAGCCCAGAGTAACTCATCTATAAACCAAGGTGATATTTGCTTGTAGAAGCTTAGACATACTTTTAAAAGAAATTAGTCTCGACATTCTCTGTGAAGGGCACCATTGCATAAGAATATAGATTTTGTAGTATGATCCACCAGGGTTCAAGTTTTAAGTACTCTGACCACACATGAGCTTTTCAATTTAATCTCTCAGCACATGAATTTCTTTAACTTTTCTTTTGTGAAGATTAAATATAGTGGGAAACGTATATATTACTGTATCTGACATTTTTCATTAAAAATTTAGTAGGAAGTATTTGAAAAATTGATGTTGTTATCTGCATAGGATTTAGAGTTAGCTGTTTCTGATCTTAGGACACCCTCTTCACCTTTTGTAATATAAGCAGAGAAGAATTTCAGCCACAGATTACGAAGTTAGTATCTATCTAAAGACATTTTAAATGAAAATATGTAAATCTGTAACTATACCTCACAGTGATTCACTAATAAAATTTTTTTTTAAAAAAAGGCATTTTGGGGCTGGAGCAATAGCACAGCGGGTAGGGCGTTTGCCTTGCATGCAGCTGACCTAGGTTCGATTCCTAGCATCTCATATGGTCCCCCGAGCACTGCCAGGAGTAATTTCTGAGTGTATGAACCATGAGTAACTCCTGTACATTGCTGGGTGTGACCCAAAAAGCAAAAAAAAAAAAAAGCATTTTAAGACACACTCTGATTGTTTATGAAATAACAGTGCTTATCTATCAAATTGGAAATATTTGACTTAAATTGATAAAGAAGAAGGTGGAAAATAACCCTTTTTCAAACCACTGGTCCCTGATTCTGCAGCTTACTAGTGGGCAGAACAGTTAATTTTCTTACCTACTTTTTGACCCACTTGAAAAATGAAAGTAGTTTCTTCCTACTTCATAAGATTATCTGCAAGATGGAATAAATTTATGTTTTGAAGCCAATTAGAAGTGTAGTGGGCGTGTCATAGTTGACATGTCGTAATGGGCATAACATCACATCATTGTGTTAGCTTGCACTAATTCATATGCAGCAGGAGCAGTATTCATAGTGGGAGTGATCGTAGCAGCTTCTTCATTAGTGATGCTGGATACTTATCTGAAGTATGTTTTAGTTCTCCTAACTTCCTCTAAGACAAGCGATGATGGTCATAGTTTGTTAATTGGAAAATTTAGACTTACAAAAGTTGACTGCTGTCACAGAGCTCTTGAATACCAGTTGGGTTTTCCACGCGGATTCACCTGAATCCCAAAGTCTATACTTCAACCCACTCTTCTCATACCTCTAAGCTTCTGTTGATTCCTGAAATTCTAGAAAAGAAATTCAGTGCTTTTCCAACCAAAACTCCTTTTCCACTGATACCAGCCATCCCAGGCTGTTGGTGAAATTAAGGAAATTTTGTCTATAGTGAAAAATAATTTTAACCTTTTTTAATTTCAGTTGCTGTTTCCAAGAGCTGTTTTTTTACAAATTGGAAATTTTTGTCATAACGTGGCGTACTAATGTTTCATTCATTTTTTTACCTACATCATCTATGGCTAATACATTATTTAATGATCCATAAGTACTTAACAAAATATGCCTCTATTTTGAGGGAACTATAGATTTATACTTTTACAAGGATTACTTTTAGGTGATTAACCTATAAATTTTATATATGACATACATGCTTTAATTAATAATTGATACCACTACTAATAGTAGAAAGTGTAAATTGCCTTGGTTTATACTTAACTACTGTTGCTTTTAGATTTAGAAGTTATTTCGATTTTAATCCTTTGATTTACTTCTACAGCCTATTAATTATGCAAATAAGCAAATCAAGTATATATGCTTGCTATTAAGTAAAGTTTTCTCATTCCATCTTTTCTAGAACTAACATCAAACCTCGAAATTCCACACCGCCTAGTTTGGCACGAAATCCTGCCTCGGGTGTACAAACAAGCAAAAGAAAAACATATGAGAGCTACACATGCAGGTACGTTTAGCTAGGCTGTGCTAATAGTGAAAATTAAAATATGTAGTTTTCCAAAATATGTGTTGGGGTAATTTATAGAAAATTGAAGATTATGAATTACAAGGTCTTTTAATTGTACAATAAGGAAATAGTTTGGACATAGTATTTCCCTTTTCTTTAGTTATTGTTATAAAGGCGCAAAGACATTTGTTTATTTCTACCAGATTCATAGCTGAACTGCAACATGGTAGTTTTTACTCTATAAATCAAATAATAGATCCTTTAAAGGTCTAAGATTCTAGCTGAGCAGGGTGCCCTCAAACAAACAAACAAACAAAAACAAAACCCAAACTTGGAAAGAGGAGAATAATAAAGCACGTTTTGGAGCGATAGCACAGTGGTAGGGCGTTTGCCTTGCGTGCAGCTGGCCCGGCCGAGCCGGGTTCGATTCCTCCACCCCTCTGGGAGAGCCCGGCAAGCTACCAAGAGTATCTCGCTCGCACGATCAAGTCTGGCAAGCTACCCGTGACATATTCAATATGCCAAACACAGTAATAACAAGTCTGAAAAATAGAGACGTTACTGGGCCCGCTCGAGCAAATTGATGAACAACGGGAGGACTGAATTCAAGATGAACTCGTTTCAAGTTCAGTATTGAAAGTAGTTCTATAACTTAAGGGTTTTCTCATGACCCATTGCTTTGGGAGCCCATGGGCTGCCAGGATCCAACCGTGTTCGTGGTCGGCTGTGCAGAAGGCAAGTTCCTATCTCTCCAGCCCCATCTTATGCCTTTTTAGGATATTACCAGTTCTAAGTGCCCCACTTCCTAGTTTTCAGCCTGTTTGTGTATGTTTTTGTTTAGTATGTTTCCACCCGCTAGTTCATTTTGCACAGTAAATTTAGTGGTCCTGAAATACTTTAGCTGTTGCTTATGTGAACTTCAAATCTGAGTGTAAAATAAACTTCAGTGTGTGTTTTTATTGGAGGACCTTTTTAACTATTTTGAAAAGTGTTGTTGTTATTCTTATTATTTGGTGTTTGGGCCATATCCAGAAGTGTTCAGGAGTTACTCCAGGGACTTGGTCTTTGACAGCCAATCCGAAGGATGCCCAGCAACTATGTGTTTGTTGGGAATCAAACCTGGGCTTCTGAAGTATAAAATAAAGTACATGCTTCAGACTTGAGGTGTCTTCCCAGACTTAAGACAGCTTTTCTGTTCTGTTTTGTTTTTAGAAGGGGCGGGGGGAGCGGGGAGTGTGGTTTGGACCACACCTGGCAGTGGTCAGGGGTAACTCCCGACTTTGCACTCAGGAATCACTCCTGGCTGGCTTGTTGGTCCCTCAACACCACCAGGCAAAGTCAGGAGTAAGCCCTCAGTACCACTGGGTATCGCCCCAAAACAAAAACAGAAAATGAGATTAAGCAAACTTATTTATATTTAATGTGTATTTCTTGTTTCCAGGGTTATGTGGTTGAAACTGCTAACAAGAACTTTGTGTTTCTACTGTTTTTCTGTCCTTCAGACCTGATGGAGACTATGTAGCATCACTTAATGGTGGAAATATTAAAGGCATTGAAGGAAATTCTGGACACTTGCCAAAATTCTGCCATGAGTGTGGGACTAAATACCCTGTGGAATGGGCAAAATATTGCTGTGAATGTGGCATTAGAAGAATGGTCCTGTGAAAAGAATCTCAAAAGGAAACGACCTAAAATCAGAGTTGTAAGGCTGTTGCTATTTGGACAGCTTTGGCACTTCATCTAGTTAATTTTATGCTAAAATTATTCAAATAATTTTTCAGCAGTTTTTGAAGCATAATCTCTTGCTATATTATATGTATATATGTGTATATAGTGTACATATACTGTATGTAATAAACACCTGAAACCCCAAATTGTGCCATTGGAGAAAATTGTCACAAGACAGGAGATAATTTCAAGTGTAATCATTAACTTGGCTATTATTTTTCTGTTACTGTTGTTAAAGCACATTAAGTATGCCTTCACAAACCCCCGAACTCTTGTGCTCAGCCCTTCAAGCTTTCTTTTTAAATCATTACATTGAATAAACAGGATGAACATTCTCTTAGTGTCTATTCAGAAAGTATCATAGTAGGATGGGATGCTTGGAATTTTGAAATGGAAGAGAATATTTTTGTTACACCTAGTTATGTGAGGTCATTCTCCTGTAGAGCTCTTCCAGAGTTAAATTTATAAATACTCTCTAAAAAGGAAAAAAAAATAGCCCTGAAGTTTATGTTTGCTTTATTTGTATTGTTATATGTGATATTATCTATGATCTTCACTCATTCTTTGAAAATGTAATTATGCTATTTCCTTTTAAGAGATAAAAGACTAAAAATACAACAGTTCCTTACTCTATAAATTATTGATTTTTACCATGGTATCTTTTAGTTTGAATATATATGCATATATGTATATATGTTTATTCCTTTTACTCCCAGTTTTCTTAAAACATCACCTTTGCTGTTTTTTTGCCCAAATTTCATGTCTGAAGAGTATTTTGCTATTTCATTTTTGCTGAGCTAAACTATATAATATAAAATGCATAAAATTACTTGTAAAATTCTACATGTTTATTTCTATGGTTTTGAGTTTAGAAGAAATTGCTTTCATAGATTTTAAAACAAACCTCCTTACCTAATAATAATGTGATCAATTTTTAGTGAATGGCATGCATGCAGGTAAAAGTATTTAAATTTTAGGGCTGGAGAGATAGTACAGTGGGTAGGGCTCTTGCCTTGTATGCAACCAACTTGCTTTTGATTCCCAGCATCCCATATAGTTCCCTGAGCATTTCTAGGAGTGATCCCTGAGCACAGAGCCAGGAGTAAGCTTTGAGCACCACAGAGTTTTGCCCACACTCCCTTGCCCCAGTATAAATACATACTTTATAATTTAAAAAATTTAGAAAGTAAATAAATTTTAGTCCCTTGAAAGTGTAGTTAGATGTAGTTATGAGTAGGTTAAGAGACTAATTTTTCCTACTTGCTTCATTTCTAGTGTCTGATGTTGAAACACTGCTTATCACAATAAAAAGCCACTAAAATATATTATTTTGATGCATAATTCATTTATTTACTTTCTCTTTAATTAAAATGCAAGTTTTAATCGTCACTTTCAGGGTAACGTATTTTAGTAGTAGATCTCATCATTTCTGCAACTATATTTAGCAATTCAGTGAAAGCTACTGTTGAATTAAACCTGAGAGCTTATTCATTTGGTAAACAAATCTATTATATTTTAGAAAAATTTTAGCTTCTTGTTTATGTTTCTGCTTCGCTGTGAAAATCAGTGTAGAAATTTTTGTCTGAAATTTATGTATACTTACATGCTTTATAATTTTATTAGGGTATTTTATTTTTAAAAAGGCAGAGAATAAAAACAGTAGAAAAATGATTATCATTTAACTTACCTTATAGTTTCTTTCCTAAAAACAATTTTGGTTGCCTTTATTCACTTATCATTTAACTAGAATAAGCTGTAATAAATTTTGGCGAATACTGTATATATTAGACTTCCATTTTAATAGCTTGCGTTCTTCTATCTTAATTCATAAGAAGTTATGAAGAAGAACTTACTGTTATCTAGGAATGAACACAATTTTTTCAACTATTGTTTTATGATCATATAATTTTTGTCTGCCCAAGGAAGAAATAAAGTGGCCCATGTTTGTTTCTGAATCCTGTAGTAGCAAGCAAATGTATAATGTACCACAGGAAAACAAATTGGTAAGAAATCATTCAATTCCAGAGCTCAGATATTATCAACAGTAAGTAGAAGAAAGATATTTATAAATTATGAAGTATGTTGTGACAATGTATTTGAATGCATCTTTATATTTTATTTCTCTCACTTCAGTTTGTTGTGCAATATCTTAGTTTTGAAGACTTTCTTAGATCTATGTATCATTTATTCTATTTTTATTTATTTACATAAATCTTTGCCATTATGGTAGAAGAAAGAAAATGATTGTAACCTTACATTTAGAATGTAAAAATATTGTACATTATTTTAAAAATTATTAGCTCGGAAAATCAAAATTATGATGGCTGCTGTTTTCTCTTGTTCACTATGATTTTATCATACATAATGTCTTCATTTTGAAACTATTCAATAAAGACATGAAGAAAAAATGTGAATTGGTTTTTATTAATGCCCTCTAGCCAGATTTAGGTAGAAGAGGAACTAAAATACAAAGACAGTGTATAAAGTCAAATAGAGATTTTTCATAAATGGTTTATTATTGAAGCATTTTCTCAAAAATTCTTAAGTTATTACTTCTTGGAGTGATTTAGAAGTATTTTATGTATTTCATCAAAAGAGTTTAAGTGTCTAGGTATACTGTTTATAGCCAACAACATTTAGCAACTGAAATTTTTTTAGAGTTGAGGTTGAAGAAAAGAAAAATCTTTGTAGTTAGGTACATTTTACCTAATGGTAAAAAATGCTTGATGGTTGGACAGTTATGTTTAAAATTTTAATTGTAAGCTGCCCCTAGTGAAAATACGATCATTTTAGAAATGTGTAGGTGGAATTCAGTTTTCCTTAGACTCATTTTCAGTACTTGATCATAACTAGAATCTCTGGTAGCACTGTAGCACTGTCCTCCTGTTGTTCATCCATTTGCTTGAGCGGGCCCAGTAACGTCTCCATTGTGAAACTTCTTGTTACTGTGTTTGGCATATCAAATACATCACGGGTAGCTTGCCAGGCTCTACTGTGCGGGCGAGATACTCTTGGTAGCTTGCCGGGCTCTCCGAGAGGGACGGAAGAATTGAACCCAGTTCGGCTGCGTGCAAGGCAAATGCCCTAACCACTGTGCTATCACTCCGGCCCAGAACGTCCGGTAGTGATCAAAAGGGATTTACACAGTTTCAGAGTGAGCAGAGTTTATTTATTTACATTGCAGGCATATGCATTTGATGCTGTAAAGAAATATTTAGTCTTAAATATTACCCTTTTGTTTTGGTGCCACATCTGGCAGTGCTCAGGGTTTGTCCCTGGCTCTGTGTTCAGGGACCACTCCTGAATGTGCTTGGTGGACCAGATGTGGTGCTGAGGATTCCCTTAAGGCAAGTACTTTACTTGCTGTACTGTCACTTTGGCCTGAAATAGTAAACTGTTAGCAGGATAGATTGGTCTTTAACTGTATTAGTAAATATATGCAGCAGAGCATATTAAAGTTAAATGGGAATGATACTCATTTTGATTTTTTGCTTAGAATTTTAATTTACATATATTTTTAGTTTGGGGACCACACCTAGCCATGCTAACGGCTTACTCCGGGCTTTGTGCTTTGGTATCACTCCTGGTAGAGTTGGGGGACCAGATGTGTTGCTGGGGGTCCAAACCCGGGTCAGCCGTATGCAAGGCAAGTGCCTTATCTCCTGTATTATCCCTCCAGCCCCAGAAGTTTTAAAAATCAGAAAACTGCTTTCTGTAAATTGTGTTTGTTTTTTTATTGTAGATTGCTCCAGTGCCACTAGAGGGTGCTTTTGGATAATTTAAACTCTCCAGGCTTCAGTGATTTTAAAGGCCTCTCAACAATAGCATTACACTTTTAAAAAAAATTTATAACATGAATTTATGGAGGTTTATTAGAGGTGGTTTAATTTTTTTCTAATAATCTAGATTTCACTTTGTAGAAACCTAGTCTAGCTTATAGTGGGTATCAATAGTGTGATGGAATTTATAGAACTATTTAAATGTAGAACTTAATATTTTTGTTAGAAAAATCAAGCATTTCAGACATAATACTTCTGCACATTACCAAATACTTCTTGTACTACTGCTTTATATTACATCTTATTATAAAGCTGCTCTTTAAGATATGTAAGATAAGAGTACCATTTTGTTTTGGTTTTTGTGTTGTTTTGGGGCCACACCCAGTGGTTCTCAGGGATTACTCCTGGCAGTCTTGGGGGACCTTTGTAGTGTAGAGGAAGCAACCTGGGTTGGTAGCGTGCGAGGTAAGTTTCCTACCCACTCTATTACCTCTCCAGTCCCTAAGATAAAGGTACTTTTTAAAATCCGCTAACACTGTTATCTAACATGTGTTTAAATTGGAGTAAATAAGTGACGCTCCCAAGTAATATAAGATGTGCAGCATCTTATAAAAGCGTTACAAATATTTGAAAAATGCATTTTGTTTTTTATTCTATGGGATATTAGTGATCAAGAGAAAGTAAACAGGATTAAGTTCTTATCCTAAAGGTGATAGGATTTGAGAGGTTATGTGTATAGAAAATAATGACAATTTAGGACAGAAAGATCAATTTTAATGAAGCTTTGTTCTAAAGATAGCAGCAGCATATGCAGAAGTGTGGAAGAGATTTTTTTAATCAGCAGTCATTTGGTTTTTATTTTTGTTTTGTTTTTGTTACTTTACTCTTTTATTTTATTTATCTATAAAACCCAGCTCCCGGGAGAGAACAGTGCAGTCTCCTGCCCCTGCTCCTGGCTGTCCTCGCCGGGGCCCCTTGGAGGAGGGCTGGTTGAGTTTCCCTCCCCGCCCCGACCAGGGCTCCGGCAGCTGAAGACCTCCAGAACTAGCCACCACCATGCTGAGACCACTCTCCACATGCATGAAGGTACCGGCAGAGGAACAAAAGCATGCAGGTCCCGGGGCTGAGATCTCCAAGCCTACTTGGATCGGGGCTGAGCATCCTCCACCCAGATCCTCCACCTTCCAGTAGGCAGGGGTCACACCCACCAACTGGCCCCCTGGCGCCTTGTAATCCCATCAATGGCCAAGATCCAAAACCCAGCTCCTGAAGAGCACGGCCGCATTCACGGCCGTGCAACATCTTATCTCATTCTTACTTTGGACAAACTGGCAGGATACCAAAAGTGTCCTGCCCACAAGGCAGAGTCTGTCAAACTCCCTGTAACGTACCCCATATGCCAAATACCAGTAACCATGATGGGTCTCATTTTCCTAAGCCTGAAAGAGCCTTGAATATGACACTTTTTAAAAAATCTCAGGGCTAGGATGAAGGAGCTGTTACTGGGACCTGCTCGAGGCAATCGACGAACAACAGGATGGTCATGATCGTGATCGTGAACTCTTTTATTGAATCACTGTGAGATAGTCTCTTACAAAGCTGTTCATGATTAGATTTCAATCATACAGTGTTCCAATATCCATCCCTCCATCACTGTACTTTTCCCAGCTCCAGTGTCCCCAGTTTCCCTCCCATCACACCACCCCCCCTTTTAGACATTGTGGTTTGCAATATTGGTACTGAAAGATTATCATGAATATCCCTTTACTTACTGCTAGTGCTCAGTTCTTGTTCAGTGTGGTCATTCCCAGCTATTAATTGTACTGCCCCCCACACACTTGTGGTTGATTTCAGCT